AGCAGTCACCGGCCACATCGACCTGATCAGTGTTTGATTGTTGTGTCTTGTTGCTTTTCTTCTTTTGTCTCTCCTCTATCCACTCACCCCAACCGGTCGAGGCAGAAGGCCGCCCACCAAGAGCCGGGGTCTGTCGGAGGTTTCTTCCGTTAAAGGGAGTTTTTCCTCCCCACTGTCGCCAAGTGCTTGCTCAAGGGGGATTTGTTGGGTTTTCCCTATGTAATAATATTGATAACAGTAAGGTCTAGACCTTACTTTGTAAAGTGTCCTGAGATGACTTTTGTTGTGATTTGGCGCTATACAAATAAAATTTGATTTATTTGAATGTAAACATTGTTTTGCTAGAATTGCTGGCTGTGCCTTTAAAACAGTGATAAGATCCCTGTAATTGAGGTAGGTTCTGGTGATAAGACTGGTGAAGTATTGTCCTCTGAAATGTTTGACCGCTAACTAATATTTGCTCAACAGATCTTGGATCAGTTCAGAGAAGTACAGAACCCTGTGTCTTCACTCATGTCTCCCCAAGGCAGCCTCTTCACACAAATAAGTATTTAGGGACGTCCTTCAAGATGGTGGATCTGTATGACTCCCGGGTCAAATGAGGAAAGAGGAATCACCAAATAAGGAAACTGAAAACTATTTGACTCACCTGACACCTGGATGCCATCCTGAAGCCCCGCCTCTTCCTCCTCCTCACATACACAGAGTCATGCTCTGCTTGGTCCAATAAGGGCAGGACACCTGTGTGTGGCTGCGCCTCCTTGTTCTCACTAAACCCCTTTTTGTTTCGGCTCCTCCTACCATACCTGACAGTTATGACATAATCAGAAACACAAAACCTATTACTTATTAACATTAATATTAAGAGTATTAATATATATGATACTGTACGTATGGCGGTACCATAGGATATATTCTGCAATATATGTTAGAATGAAAGTATATTTGCATATGTGTTAAATTATGCATGTGAATATCACAATATACATCTATATGTTAACATACAGTATGTATTACTATGTAAACTCATGTGTGTTTGGTGTATGTTACAGAACATCAGACTATATGTTAGATAGATAGATAGATAGATACTTTATTGTCATTGTACAAAAAATATACCACAAAATTTAGATGCACTTCAGGATACGTGAATAAATATGGTAAAAGCAACACTCAGTGCCAACATATACACTTTAGTGAGCAATTACACTTAATAATTAATTACACTTAATGGATCGGTATCATCTACCTGAAGGCAGCAGTTCAAAAAGGTGAGGAGCAGGGTGAAAATAGTCTCTGATGAGTTTTCTGCAAACAGCGAGAACTGAAGATGTCATCCAAGGTTGGAAGTTGGGAATTTGTGATGTTGTTTGCTGTCTTGACGATTCTCTGCAGAGCCTTTTTATCTGCTGCAGAGCTGCTCCCATACCACACCAGGATGCCATGCGTCAGGACACTCTCAATGGTGCTAAGCTGGTGTTGTGAGAGATTTATCTTCCTAATTGTCCTTAGGAAGTATAACCTCTTTTGTGCCTTTTTGACCAGCATATTGGTATTAACAATCCATGAGAGATACCCAGAAATTTAAAGCTTGCTACTCTCTCTACCTCCTCACCATTGATGTGCAGTGGTGTGTGTACCTCCTTATTTTTCCTAAAATCAATTATCAGCTCTTTGGTCTTTTTGATATTGAGTGTGAGATTATTTTCCCTGCACCATGCAGTCAGCCCTTGAACTTCCTCCCTGTAGGCAGATTCATCCTTCCATGTCATCTGCAAATTTAATAATGGCATTGGTATTATGTGACGGGGTACAATTGTGTGTACAGGGAGTAAAGAAAGGGACTCAGCACTCAGTGTCAGGGTGGAGGAATGATGATAACCCATCCTGACTGACTGTGGCCTGTTTGTTAAAAGGTCTTTTATCCACAGGCAGATGTTGTGTTGTATGCCCAAACTGGACATTTTGAGGAGCAGCTTGCTGGGTAAGATGGTGTTAAAAGCAGAGCTGTAGTCCACAAACAACAGTACATATGTCCCCGGTTGTTCCAGATGGTGCAGAACGGTGTGCAAGGTGGTGGTTATGGCATCATCAGTTAACCTATTGCTCCTGTATACATACTGATGGGCGTTAAGGGCTGGTGAAAGGTCAGCCTTGATGTGATTTAGCACCACTCAAAGCATTTCATGATTACAGGTGTTAATGCCACTGGCCTGTAATCATTTATGGATGTCACTACAGCCTGTTTAGGAACTGGCACTATGGTGGAAGCCTTCAGGCAGGTAGGAATAGAGCACTGCAGCAGAGACAGGTTGAAGATATTAGTAAATATAGCAACCATAGCCGTAGCTGCTAACTCTGCAGCACAGTCTCTGAAAACCCATCCCGGGATTCCATCTGGGCCAGCCACCTTTCGGATGTTGATATTCTAGAGGGTAGGTCTCACATCAGCAGGCTGCAGGATGAGTGGCTGGTTGTCTGTAACTGGAACTGAGGTGATGGCCATCACCTCTGCTTCCACATCAAAGTGAATGAAGAAATGATTGAGCTGCTCTGCTAAGGAGTCGCTGCTGCTGTCGTTATGCCTAGTGATGTGTCGCAGACCTTGCCATGCTCGGCAGGGATCCAAGCTTTCAAAATGATATTCAATCCTCCACCTATACATGGCTTTAGCATTCCTGATGCCTCTCTTCAGGTTGGCTCTAGCTTCACTGTACTGTTGTGTGTCACCTGAATAAAAAACAGAATTCCGGGCCTTTAACAAGAGGCACACATCACGGGTCATCCAGGGCTTGTTGTTCGGGCATGCCCATATTTGTTTGGTAATGATGACATTATCCATGCAGTTTTTGACATAAAACAGTACAGCTGAGGTGTAGGTGTCAATGTTGTTCGCCTCAAACAATGTCCAATTAGTATGCCTAAAATAGTCCTGAAGCTGCTCAGCGCCCCCTCTGGCCACACTTGTAACTCTCTAACAGTTGGTTTGACAGTGTTAACAAGGGATCTGTATGCTGGAGTCAAAAACAAGTATATGTGGTCAGATTGTCCCAGGTGGGGTAAAGGTGTAGCCCTGTACCCATGCTTGATGTTACTATAAACATGGTCCAGAGTGTTTTTTCCTCTCGTGGGACAGTGGACATGTTGGTAAAGTTTAGGGAGGACAGTCTTCATATTGGCCTGGTTAAAATCACCCGCTATTATGAACACTCCATCTGGATGGGCTCGTTGTTGTTTGCTAATGGCAGTTAGCAAATAGCCCAGAACAGTATTGGTGTTAGCTTTATGAGGTATATAGATGGCGATGATTATCATAACAGTGAACTCTCGAGGTAAATACAAGGGGCGACATTTAAAAGCTAAGTACTCCAGGTCAGGAGAACAATAAGTGTTCATTATTGTGGCATTTGTGCACCAGTTGTTATTCGTGTAAACACAAAGCCCCCCTCCTCTGCTCTTACCAGAGTCTGCAGTCCTGTCAGCTCGGTGTACTAAGCGGCCCGCTAGCTCAATAGCCTCCGCCGGGATTTTAGAATTAAGCCACGTCTCCGTAAATACCATAACACAACTATCTCGAATATTTTTCTGCATCTTTCCAATTTTTCTGCAGCTGATCTGCAGATTTTTGTTCCAGTTAAAAATACAGTTTTCTTGACTCAATGGTCAATAGTTCTTGTCGTCCATATTTAACATAAGCATGAGCATATATATGCTGCCATTAATATTAAACACATTATAATTGTTGTATATACTATAGTCAGATGTTATTATACATGCTCAAGTTACACTGTCTGTTACTATAATTGCATAACGTTATCTGTATAAAAGAGGTTTAAGTATTTACAGTGTGAGAGTTTGACAGTCTGCCAGTATCTCTTTATTTTCTCAGGTAATCCTAAATGCAGTCAAGTAACAGAGAACTGGAGACTCAGTTAGCAGCAAATTAACTATTAGCATGAAATTTTATACATATATTGTTTATGTTACAGTATTTTTACTCTGTGTATCTATATGTGTCACTCTAGTGTGCATAGAATACTGCAGTATATGTATGTACCTGTATATCTGAGAGGGTATGTTACCTGGCCAGAGACTCGCTGTCGAAGTAGCTGATGAAGCTACCTTGTCTGAACTGTCGGACCAATTTTTCCACCCTCTCTTCATCCTCCTGCTCGATCTGGGCCCAGCTCTTCCCCCTGAAGGATTCTGGGATATGTGCTGGGGCTGGCAGGACTTCCTCTATGGGCAGAGTCCAGAAACCCGGGCCCTGTCTGGCTCCACCCCCTTTTCGCTGCTCACTGTGAAGGGCGGAATCAAGCTGGTAAGAGTACATCTGGTCCTCCAGGTCCACCTGAACGTCCATCAGAAGGCTCAGGTCCTGCCTCTCCGTCTGACTCACCTGGACAGGTGTGTGTGCGGGCTGTGAGCCACTGAGTGTCTGAGCTTGCTGGAAAACTACCTGCAGAGAAAAGTTACAGCTTTATGTCTCACACACAAATGACTCAGTAACATTCACCAGCTCTCAGCAAAGTACCTGAACAGGTGAGTCCCAGTCATCACTGTGTGTTTCCATGGAGACAGGGAGGCTGAAGTGAAAGCTCTCCGTCTCCTCCTGCTGGAAGGGAGTGGAACTGATGCCATAACAACACGCCTGGATTACCTGAGGTCCGACAGAATCAGCAAATCTACTTTATTCTTCAGCGGTACTTTAGTCTTACTGCAGACGTGCCGTTATGCAGCGTCTCCTTAAAACTATTTAATGTTGATAACTTCTGTGAATGAGATAATTTGTGTAAACAAGATTTTAACTGAAGCTAATGTGTGAAGACACAACTTGGACCCACAACATTATGTGACCCATAATGTTTGCAAACAGCATAAAGACCATAGTAAGTTTTGTGAACATAACATGTTGTCTAAACTTAATTTATTACCTCTAAGACCAAGCTTACTTATGAACTGGTGTGAAGACACTGACCTCCTCAATAGTCTGGTCCAGAGGGTCACTGCGGTCCGAGGAGAACGCCTCCTCTTTCTGAGCCTCCCTCCGCTCCTTCTGCCAACTTAGCCAGGGCCTCATCTCTTGGGGGGTCTTGGGACTAGGTCCTGGACTGGGGCTAGGGCTCAGTTTTACACAGGGTTTCACCTCTGTGTAAGATAGGTGACCAGTGCCTGGACCAGGACCGCTGGGGGGCGGTAAGGAAGAGGAGTCGCTGTTTTTTCTCCTGTTGGTCTTCCTGTGTGCTTTTCCATGGACAGGGGGTGGGGCCTGAGTCTGGGGAAGTGGGACTTGTGTTTGTGGTGAGCATGTGTGCCCTGTGGGGGTGGGTTCTCCTTCTTCCTGCTCTCTGATTGGTGCAGACAGCCGCTGTTGACTGTGATTGGCCCCTGAATGGCTACGGTTGCTGCCATCTTCATGCCGATTGGCTGGCTGACATGATGCGTCTTCTGAACTGGGCAGGTGCTCTCGCGTACCTAGTGACCGGCTGTCATCAGAGACACAAACTTCATCAAGCTCTGCCCTTGGCAACGGGGGGGCAGAGATTGATGGGAGGTCAGCGTGGGTGGGTCTGAGACAAAAATGTAAACATACAGTTTTTTTTTACACACTGCAGGAGGACAGGTGGGTTTGTTCACAACACCTGATGCCATGCACCAAACAGGTATGTTTGCTTTAGTTACCTGGGATCACTGTAGCAATGCGGGTGATGCTGCAGGACATCCTGCAGGAAGCGCTCGAGGAGGGTTAGTTTGGTTCTACTGCTACTAGTGGAGGAGATGACGCTGGAGCCTCTGGAAGACGCCCGGACAGAATCCAAGTGTCTGAGACTGGAGAGGTGCTGAGAAAGATGAATGATTGATGGCAGATAAATGATGGCATTAACAGTTCATTAATTCTGACTGGACAGCTCAGGCCACATGCTGCAGTTCAGACTCATGAATATAGGGTGTCTGTACCTGGTCCAGGTTGTTGTACAGGACTCTGCAGTATCCACAGTATCCCTGTCTGCTGGGCTGACACCTAGACGGACCTGGCTGAGACTCCACCCACATCCTGTCAGTCACAGAACACCTTTAATCTGCCACTGATCAATAATCCATATTTAAGTTGATATAAACTGACAGGCCTATAGAAACACTTATCTCCCATTATGTACACTACAGGTGTGCTACAGCAGTGAATCCAGTGTGGACTCAGGTGGTGTGCTTAGATCAGGAACCACAGTTTTTACAAATTCTGGACACAGTTCAGGGCCAGTAAAAGTCCAAAAAGTCAAGAAAACACACTCTACAGAGGTCACCTGTCTACAGATATCACCTGTGCAGCTTGGTGTATATCACACAAAGTACAAAACTACAAACTCAGATCATTCAGGTTCCTACTGTGCTAACTTAGCTGATAACATCTGTATTATCAAAGAAGAACACATAAAACATACAATGTTGTAATGTTATTAAATACTCAGAAAATTAGAGTTTGGTGGACACAGGAATCTCGACACATGACAGTGTTTTTAGAATTTTAATAATGAGAATAACAGACAGGTAGACTCACCTGTGGGTACACTCTGCCTTCCTCTGGTCATCTGACACACAAAGCACAGTCAGTACATGGAGTGTAAAATAATCAATTTAAACATGTGTCATGTGTGTTTATGTTTTACCTTCATCAGAGTCTGACATCCTGCTGCTGGATCTAAATAGACACACATCATGTTTATGATTTAACTGGAGCCCCAGGAGGTTCACACGTGTGTTTAATAA